TGTTTGTATGTGGCAAAATATGTTTGGATTTAATCAATTTGCATCTTCATTTAAAACCAAAATTGTTATAGGCTTTAAGGGGCTGACATTGTCTTAAAACACTCATTTAATAAATTAGAGTAAACAGATGTTATTTTTTTCCCCATTAGAACATTTTAGCTTTTCTAGTTGCACAGAGATAATAATTATCTCTCTCACATTGATTAAAATGCACAGTATTAATGTCTTACTCTGTCTGGTTTCAATTGCATTATTTCTCAGTGGGTTTTATTAAGTACTGCAGAGTTAAGTTATGATTAACTTTGCTATTCCAATCCCACAGCATAAGCACATATTTGGTGCTACTATGCTGTGCTTGCATGAAAAAGTGTTTTCCTTCTACAGTGTCTGCTAGACAATATCTAGGCAAATAATAGACAGTGGACATTTCTAATTAATTGATGTTGTATGTTGTTCATTAATTAGTTTTGAAATTTGCATTGAACTTAAGGAATTCAAGGAAATGTCAGTTCAGAGGTACCATGACAATAAACACTAATTAAGGTCATGGGAAGAGATGTCTGGACAGGATCTTGTTATTCGTGTGTTGATCTGTGGACTGGGAGTTGAATCCAACCATGAGTGTTTTCTTCCCTTTTTTGCTGAACTTTAAATAAATAAAAAATAAATAAAAATGTACCTAGCTACTGTGACTGACAGAAGCGTCTTTTAGAAATGCCACTGAAGAACACCAGCATTGATACTCAGAAAAGCATATGGTCTATATATACAGTTTGTGATCAAGTGGGTGGTAGTCCCTGCTTGCGCATTTTATTTCTTGTGGTGGTTAGTCTTATGTGGTCATTCTGTGATCACTTTACTTGTTGTTTTTGCTGTTATTAGTGAGCTCTTCAGATTTATTAATCATTTCCCAGGCTTTAAGTTACTTGAGAGAGTCATTTGTTTATAATGTATGTTTTAACAGCTTGATTTTTTTGTGATTTTAATTAATATTGAGTTTTAAGTCTAAAATTGCATGGCAAATCATTATGGAGAGCTATTACCTTGAATACTGCTGCTGAAGACTTGTTAAATAACGTAACTTTGTCTTCTTTATTATTAAATTCATTTTAACAGTCTTGGAGCTGGAATTCAGGGGTAGCATTGGCAGAAGTAGCTTCTGGTGTTGTTACACTGCTCCATGAGCACCAGTTCTTTATTACTCAATACTTGACTCAGTTGTGTGTCTTGCTACAGGATTCTATGGCATAAAATAAAAAACCAAACAACAAAAAGAACCTCTCTCTGTGAGTGCTGCTAATTTTGCTGGGTATCTGCAGGTTTCAGTCTACGTCTTAGTGTTTGAGCCCACTGCTGACTTGCTATTACTAAGCAGAATTTGGAGGGACAAAAATATTTGCACACAGGAATTCAGCTGAGGGGTTCTACTGTTGCTGCCAACAATTTTTATATTTGAGAAGTATTTGAAGGTTTTATGGTGACTTTTTAGTAGCTGAGGGAGTTGCCTTCTGTAAGATCCCACAGCATTTGTACACTAATCTTGAATTCATCATGTGACCGTAGGGCTTTTCTATTCTGAGAATGCTGTATTGCTTAGCAATAGTTAGAATTACTCTTAACTAGTAAGAACTAACTGAAGTTTGAACTAAGAAGTTGCACTGTGCTTCTTTGGCTAAATAGAATCATAGAATCACTCCAGTGAAAAGACCTCAAAGATCATCAAGTCCACCCACAACTTAACCATACTACCCTGACTCTAACAACCCTCCTCTCAATCATGTCCCTGAGCACCACATCCAAATGGTTTTTAAACACATCCAAGGATGGTGACTCAACCACCTCCCTGAGCAACCTATTCCAGTGCTTAATAAGCTTTTCTGTAAAGACGTTTTTCCTGATATCCAACCTAAACTTACTCTGGCACAGCTTGTGACCATTTCCCCTCATCCTGTCACCAATGAGATTCCCAAGCTGATTCTTGTCTACGAACGCTGATTTTGTGGTCTACCTTAGTGGAGAGAATGTGAATGAAGAGCTCTATGTATGACATGTTCAGAAAGCTTTGCACAGTAAGTTGCCCTTCAGAGTGTCAATGTACATTCTTCAATGTGCGTTATTTAAAAAAAATCACATGCATATCCAAATAAATATATGTGAATAGATGTGTATTTAAGATAAACAGCGTATTTGAAAAGAATAATAGATGTATATTTTGTAAAATTTTTAGTTGAGTGCTGAACGTAGACATATGGCTTCTACAGAGCCAGGTAGCCCAGTGTTTTCAGCTTCTATGCATGAAGATATGTTTCTGCCTCAAGCACTTCTAACGGTAGATATTCTTATGTAAAAAAAAAAAAAAAAAGCTTTTTATTGCAAACTATGGTTGGAAACCAATAAATTTGTATTTGGGCAGTGTGTGGCAAGCTCAACTTCCAGGCACAACAGTAACAGGCGTTTTAAGTAAATATTCCCCAAATGTGTGAGGAAGAACTCTTTGAAAATGTAGGTAAGGGTGGAAGCAGGTAGTACTATGTGATCCGAGCAGTAGCTTAGCACCCTGACTTCAGTCTTTTCTTTTGCATATGCTTGCTTAAGAAATGATCAGTGCTAACTGTCCTCTTTTGTTTCTCTGTCAACACGGGTAAAAATCAAGAAGGTTGCTGGGAAATACTGCAAGTAGAATCTTTCCTCCCAAAATTTAAAAGTTTGTGACTCCTGCTATGTCTAGAACAGCCTGAGTTTCCTGGGATTGTTTTTCAATGGAGCACGTGAAAATAAAATCATAAAAAAAAATACAGTTTGTCTTCTACTTCTAATCGATTTTCTACTAACTTGTATTTGGAAAAGCACACATTTGGAGCATTTTTATAATGTCGATGATTATGTATCCCTCTAATTCCCTGTCCATCTGTAGAATAAACGTTTAGGCTGTGTGTAAACTATACCAAGTCTATATCATACATAATGTATGACTGTATATGATAATGTGCCATGAATGTCAAATTTTATTTTATTAAATATAAGCTGCTCTTCCATCTGCGCATTGGAGACCCCATGTATTGTATGCCAAAAAAAAAAAAGCACCATTTCAAAGTATTATATAATTTTACATGCAACGATATGAAATACCTCGGTTTTTCCACTTGCTTAAATGGTTAAAACTCCAGCATTTCTAATTCCTCAGTTGTTCTCTCTTGCTATGTAAGAGCAACGTCAGTATGGCAATTTAGCAGCAATGTAAGCTTGGACAAGTTTGCCAGAAACACTGATGGTCGCATTCTTGACTGCTCTAACTCTGTTGGCTTCAGGGGTTTAGTAGCAGTACTTTGTGTGAGTAGAGCTTGGTCCTCACTTCCAGCCTTTTTCTCTAGCAATCCAGCTCTCCGGTGTTGACGAGGCCTTCAAATGAGCAAAGAGACAAATGTTTGTCGTAGCTTTTGAAGCTTTGGCAGACAAGCTGCTAGGACCTTTAGTTGGCACCTATGTCTGGTTCCAAAAAAGCCAACCTTGTCAGGGCTGCCTTTTTTTTCTTTTTTTTTTTTTTTTTTTTTTTGCAGAGATTTCGCATTGTATGTGCGCCTGTGACTCTGTGTCTGAGTGCCTCATGACACTTTGCAATAGATTGACAGAAACCAGAAGCCAGGTTCGTCAAAGCCACAGATTTCTGATCCAGAATTACAGTGTCTGATTTGTGCCAGCACAGACCTAGACTGTCCAGATAGAGTGAACAGGAGGAAAATATAATGCCAAAAAGGAAGAGGCTGAAATCTAATTAATCAGAAACAAATAAGTCATCCTAATGGCAATGCAGAAGCAGTATCAATTTAATTTGAGAGTACCCTATGTTCTGTAAGGATGACATTGTACAGTAATTCTGCTGCCAGTAACTGCTGCTAGAATTGCTGAATAGTAAGAAACAAATGAGTTACTGCCTCCACCGGTCTGTATTTTGCACGTTTAAATACTGTGGTACTTCAAGCTCAAATTCTGCTTATGACACCTGGTTTCTCCTGTACTTACTGGTTTTTGTTCCGTTTTTCCACAGCAGTGGAGTAATTAAGCCTAGGCAGTAGTACATCTGCTGCTAGAGTTGGTAGCTGTCATCACCATGGGTTTGCTTTGTTTTGTGAAT